GGCGATGAATTGAGTGGGCGAGGAAGTCCTCGGATCAAATGCCACGAGGTGGTGACAAATGCAGTGTTATGAAAGCAGAGATGAATAGAGAGAAGAGGCCCATGAGTAACCGAGCATGAATTCCTCCACTACGACGGTAAAAGCCACGAGGAAGAGATAGAGATATTTCGACGGACCTGTGAGATATGATACTTTGAAGTGTTGCTTGTACGAAAATGGCAGAGTCGGAGTTTTCCACATGACGGGCTTTGGTTGTGACATCGCCTGTGACGCACCACGAAAGAATGCGCGAGCACCAGCGAAACTTGGTCTCGGCGGTGAAGCTACACCAAGGAAACTGGGGAAAGGAGAGGGTACGGCGGGAGGCGGGACAATCTGGGGTTGGCCAGAGGGACCACGACCCCGTACGACGACATGCCCTCCAGGAATGGACAGGGTCATGTCGTTCCGCTCGAGTTCCTCGGCGTGGAGAACAGCTTGCTCGGTCGGATCGTCCAGATCCATTGCAGCATGGATATCGTGCCCCATAGCGAGATCTTCCTCGGAAGCTTGAGCACGCTCTTCCTCGCCCGCAGTCATTGAATCCGAGTCTGACAAAGACAAGGAAGCAGCAGAAGGACCACCTGTCGAGGAACTTGAATAGTGTCTCCTTGCGGCATCGGTATCCTCGCTGCTGTGGTCAACAATACTGAGTCTCCGGACGACACGAGCACGAGGTGATCCACATCCACACCCAGAGGTCACGCTTGGCCGAGTCCCGGTAATACGATCGCTGCAGTATTTGTGGACCTTGCACATCGACCTCCAGAGGCATTCATCGGAGAGCAGGCTATTCCAGAATTTGCTGACTGCACTTGCTCGAGACAGTGTGCGCGCATCGGTGATAAAGGAGACGATGTGTAAGGCGATCTCAGGAGGCAAGTCACGGAGGAAATCACGTTTGATTCGAGGGGTGATGAGGTTGCAGATGTGAACGAGAGTCTCGACGGGGCACGAGGAGAGCAAGTCGGACAGAAACGAGTTTTTCGCCTCGGCGCTCAAAGCACTAAAGTGCGGCCTGACATCTCTTAGCAAGCTGAGCTCGGACTGTTGCCTGCGCACAACCTTTGAGGATCGAGGAGAAGGGGATGGGACGGGGGTTGGGGGAGAGGTGAACGGGACATAGGATGTGTTGAAAAAAGACCCGTGGTCAGCGTGTGTTGCGTTGTCCAAGTCCGAGGCGGCGGGATTAGCAATTGGGCTCGATGATGATGGAAGTGATGACGAAAGTTGGGTGGGAAGCGGCCATCCTGGAAGGCCGCTCATGACACACTCTCTGAGCGTGTGCGAGACGTTGTAGTTGCGAGCTCCGTCGCTGCCAAAGGCGTTGGTCAGGACGAGCAAAAGTCGAACAAGGTGGTGAAAGTGTTCGGGTTTAGTCAGACTCTTGAACCTTGCACGTGATTCCGCATAATACAGGATTATTCAGAACGCCTGCTGGTGTGTTGATGATGTATTCCGCTATCAAAAAAATGCTGCGTATGGCTCAGACTGTCGGTTGGCTCGCTGTTCCGAGCTTGGCAAGCATGATTGGCGGTGAAGGAGCGCATATGTTCCCAATTTGGATGACTTGCTTGGTACTCAATTTGAATGGGCGCACAAAGAATCAGATTTTTGTTCCCCAACGTATCGTATCGAAGCAGGTTGTATACAGCATTTCGGGGGGAAAGTGGGACAATACACTTGTGTTTATGCCTTTGCATATACTTTACAACCAGCAGGTTCACCGTGAGAGGGACGCGCCTCGTGTTGGTGTTCGAAGCCGCGTGTGACACGTTGACAGGGTCTCTGTGACTATTTACACTATTTCAGAATTTCAAAGCTAAAGCACGTTTCTCAATCCCAAAATTACAAGCGCCTTGCAACGACGGTGGACAACTCGCCCATCTACACCTTCCTTTTATCCTGAATAATTCCAGCCATTGACTCTGGGTAGTTTCCTCGACCAATCGTCCCTCCTTTGCACATTCCCTTGTTTCCTGGATTCCACCCACGATTCTCGCAGCAATTTGGAACCACACACTCTTTATAGCCCCCCCTTTCCCTCCTCCCTCTCCCGCCAGAACACACCACACTCCTCCCCGTATTCTCCACAGATGTCGCTTCCAGCCTCCCCACCACCTGCCGCCGCCGTCGAGCAGCCCACCACAGCTGCTCCCACCTCTCCCCAACCTCCCGCTCAGCCCGAGAGCAGCACCACTACATCTTGGAGTCAGGAGATGAAAAATCGCCTCGAGCGCATGGCAAAGGCTTCTTCAAACAATATCGAGCTTTACCCCGGCACGCCCGCGTATGTTGCTGCTCGCAAGCTCGAAGAGACGATTGAGAAGACTTGGCGCGAGTACCTCGTCGAACTCGTGCGAAATGATCTCGCTGCCGGTATCACCTCTGGCCGTCGCAAGCATCACTGGCAGAAAAACGAATGCCTCGTCGTCTACGAGCTTGTCCCTGGTGCCCAACTCGAAGAGTTCCCCAGCTCTGATGCTGCCAAACGTGAAGAATACCTCGCTCGCACCGTGCGCGACGCTCTCTACATCAAAGTCCCACAATTCTCCAGTGGTTTTGGAAGCCCACCCAAATCGCCGTCCGCGGTTAGTTCACGTTTCATTTGCTATCCATTACGTCCTATCTTTTTTTTGTTTTACTCAACCCCGGCCCACTGCCAATCATACAGACTTCGCCGTCCAAAATACCCGTGCCGGTTGCGAGCAGCGCGGCTCCTGCGGCGGCCAAGGCGCCTGCTTCCTCTTCGTTGGTGACGCCTCCCCAGTCGCCGCCCTTGTCTGCCGCGAACCCCGAACCCAAGGGCGCCCATGGTTCGATTCCTCCCCAACCCCACACGATTCCCGAAATTCCCAATGGCGATGATCATCCATCTGTTGCTTCTGCTTCGGAAAGCAGCGTTGCTGCCTCGATCGCTTCGCACACACATGCTGATAAGGCTGTCAATGGCGCCGCCAACGCCGCCGCCGCCCCTGCAACTAATCCCGCAACTTCCGATGCACCCAGCAGATCCCCTGCACCCTCTGCACTGGCATCCGCGCTGCTTGGGGTCGGTACCGCTCATGCGCTGGGTGCGGCATCTCCCCGCGTTTCAACGGTGCCTAATCCTACTGCCGCGCCCGAGGAACCCAAGAGAGGCACTCTTCCCGCGCTCGCTATGAGCCCCGCTGCTACTCCTGACCGAGAACGCCCGTCTCTCGGCCTTGGCTTGCGAGTGGACTCGCTCGATGTGGATGATGATTCGGTTCCGCTATCTCCCTTGCCGCACGACGATGATCACGAGGAAGCCTCGATTCACCAGGCCGAGCGCAAGACTGTGGTTGCCTCGCCAAACTTCCGCACTCTCAACCCTTCTTTCTCGCTCGACGTGGAAATTGACCGTCGGGCAGGGTCTCCCATCCCTCCTGAGCTCGTCTATTACGGCAGCGGAGCCAACGCGACTGAGGACCCTGAGGACTTTGAGCCTGTCTACGAGCTCGAGGAACAGCCTGTTGAACTGTTCAAGACACTCAACCCGGCAATCAGTCTCGATGCTGAGATTGCTCGTCGCTCTCCTTCGCCCGTTCCGTTTGTTCCTCCTGTGCAGGTTGAATATTCGCCAGAGGACGACGAAGATGATGGGGAGCCCATTGAGACGTTCAAGACACTTAACCCCGCCGTGAGCCTTGACGCAGAGATTATCCGACGCTCGAGGGCATCCAGCCCAGTCCCTCAGTTCAAGGAGCTGAACGAGGAACTCGGCCTCGAGCACGAGATTGCCCGTCGCTCTGCTGCTCCTTCCCCAGCTCCTTCGGCACACCTCGAGCTTGCCAGCGAGGAGGAAGCTCCCACACCCACCCCTGTCCCTGCTGCTGCTTCCAAGGACAACGTCGTCGCTGCTCCCTCGAGCAAGAGCGTCGTTCGCAGCACATTCTTGCTCCCTGTTCTCCTTGGATCGGGCGTCCTGCGGCTCCTCAACACACTCAATCCCTTTGCGTACTTCCTCCTCTCGATGCGCGTTCGTGCTCAAGCCCGAGGCACGAATGGGTCATCGGACCCCAAGCTCACGGTCCCTCGCCCACTCTTGCGCAGGGTCCTCCCGGCGTTCATGTGGCGCTGGGCAGGCAAGGATGCCGATTATAACCTCCATCGTGTGGGCCTCGGCAAGGGCCTGAACACCGTGGGCACCCGGTACGACAAGACTGGGAGCGTGATTGGGATGAACAAGAGCGAGGGTGAGGCGACCAAGGCTTGAACGACTCACTTTCTGTCTCTCACACTGGGGTTGGCGAATACGGACGAACGAAAAAGAAAAGTACTCGGACTCGTTATCAGTTTAATCATCATTGTTTCTTTTGCTGCATTTTATTGACTCTCGAACAAGAACATTCCACACGATATATACCCACCCTCTCGTCGCTTTTGCGCTGGACTCGCCTGTCTTTTCCTCTTGTTTCTTTCCCGTTAACAACACTATCGCTTTTGCTTCATCTATCTACCTACCTACCTCCATCTCTCATTCTCTCATCAATGGACTATCTAATCATTAGAACTTTAGCCATATCATCGCTCTTCGACTTGTTTGATATTTGTTAGACGAATTGATCCAATTCTCTGCCCAACAAGAAGTCGTAGATGTGGTTGCTGATGCAATCCTGAATCTGTTTGACAGTTTGGTCGACTTGGTGTGGCTCTCAATGACTTGGTTGGGAAATAGATCCTCCACAAAGGAATGTCTTGGCGCTGGACGAGCACTCAAGCCTTATTAATTGCCCATCCTCATAATCTACAATTTACCGCTAAAGTTTTGTATCTCACTTGTACTATAATTTCAAAAAAGCCATTCAACTCGGGGGGCTGTAGCTACCAGAAGATCAGCCCGATCAAAAGGCCCAGAGTGAACAACAAAGCTATCAACTGCACCAGGGTTCGAACCTGGTGTTTCCAAGCACTCACAGGAAGCACAGGGCAAAAAAGAACGACCACGACGGGACTCGAACCCACAATCTTCAGCTAGAGGAGAAGAGATCCGGCACAATGCCTGTAAAACCGGAAACTGACGCGATGCCATTTCGCCACGCGGCCTCGTTATCTCGTTCTCCAGAATTAGCGCAATAGTTCTGTCCAAAAATCAGATTTTTACGATTTTTTGTGATTTTTTGGCGTCGACTTCTCTGAATCACTGATCTCAAGGCGCAAACGACATTTTATTGACAAGGAAGCAATATAGATAGGTCCAGAAGAATCGGATATAAGACCATACGAAAGTAATTTCGAGATTGACAGGTGTAGAGACGGGCACAGAGGGATGGCTGGGTGGGGTGACAACTTGGCGCGTCAACTAGAAAGGGATACACACCCGCTATTGCACCAAGGACATTCGTATAGAATGGGAGTATAATTCTCAAAAGACTCATGCATCTCGGTCTAGGACGTTATCACGTTATTGCATTGGATATCTCAATCTCGCAACTGCCTACTCGTTACATATCAAGGGATCAGGAAGGGAAATGGGACCGGACCGAGAAGACCCGGAAGTAGCATTTGTTGATCCCATTACTACCAGGACCCATCAGTGAGGTTGATCGTCCGCATCATGGGAAGAGAGTCGCCCAATCGTCTCGATAAAGTTCACTTCCTCCTGTGAATTGATGGTACACGTCTATGAATAAGACACCGAAAGATTTTATGCGTTAATAACATAGAGGGGATAGAAGGATACAGATTGTGCTTAAAAAACAGCGTTGTTTTAAGTCGAGGACGAGGAGTGAGGGACAACTGGGCGGGTTGAGGGACAGATGTGAACGAATCAATACAGCCAGATCGGCGCCCATCTATATTTCAGCGGGGCATCGTAGGCCATAGACCGAGGTATTAGAATATGCTTGAAGGAGTGGGGGTCATTGTTGTGGACAAAAGGGACAGATAGATTAGCCAAGAAAGACAACTGCGGGAATGCGCGAAACACTCGCAAACATAGCAAAAAGTCCCAGACGTCTGTGATCGAACACTATCTTCAATTGACTTGTGGATTTACGAGAGAGCCATATTTCCCAACTAGCCTGATCTTGCTCTCCACGACAACAATAGTATGATTGGTCTTCGCTCTTGTCCTTGCCAACAGTGTCTGTGGCCGACACACAACAACCGGTGGCGCGCACAATCTTGCATGACCTAGAAAGAGCTCGAAGCAAGTACACAACCCTTACTAGCCATCCAGGCGAGAATAACAGATATTCTCTTATTTATCAGGCTAGGCGCTGACTGAACCTCTCCCAACAGGATGCTGTGTCGTCGCGAAAAACCACCGGAACAACCTTGAGGCCCCAACAAAGCAGAGTTGGCCTAATTTAGTTTGAGGGCTCGTTGAGTCCGTCGCGCTCGTGCGCTGGCTTGTATAAATGAGCAGGCTAGAAAGAATGACCAAGGTCGGCCGTCTTGAGCTCGTGTCGTGAACTTCAGTCTCAAAACTGCAGCCAGCGAAACAGTGCAAGCCAGTTTGGGGCTCATCTGAGAGATTATGAGCTATTGGGATACATCGTCGTAAAATGGCAATCATTCCAAGGATCAACGACTGTTGGGCACAGACACTTATTTGCTGCCAGACGGACGCCCAGGTTCTGATCATTCGCTGCCAGACACACAAGCAGGAAGTGGGGTTTTTTGGGTTCGCCGACACGAATGGATACTCGACTGTTATTGCTCCGGGGTTGTCTCAGGCGTTGCCAGGTTTCATTGCAGCTACTTGCTATCTTGTCAATCGCGAGACTTTGGAGCCAGTCAGAGCCTCGTAGTAAGGTTGCTACAATCGTCCTCTTACTGCGTTGGCTGTGGCAGAGGTGGTGGTAGTGAGTGAGAGAGAAGGCCGGGTGAAAACTTCTGAATGTGCATCGCGTCTAGATATGGTATAATGATGCACTGCGCATGACAGCCAGCCACTCATCTCGCGCCATGATTTGCCCGCCCCAATCCCCCGTCTTGAGATAGTCTCTTCCCCTCCCCTGGTCTAGCACTCTCCCCTTGATATATAAATTTCCTTGGACTCCCCAACTCACCGCCTTTATCCACTTGGAGACTAGTTTGTGCAACGCGCACGCGTTCGACCCATTTCGACGGCACCATGTGGCATATATAAGAATAATTGAATTCTCATCTCCCTTCGATCGCTCGCGTAATGCAAATGCGGCGAGGTTTTGCATCCTCAAACGGTATTTGGAGAACCTTTCGACTGAGGGCCGTTCCCACGCTTAGTCAAGCCTGTATATGGGCTTTCCCCCCTCCCTCCACCCCTCACGTTCCCCAGTCTCAACCGCGCGATCGGCGTGGCTGAGACGTGTTATATCAACCATATTATCATTATAACCTCCCAAACCAATATCTCGTCGATCCCCCCCCCCCAAAAAACCCGCCCTTCGTTCGAACTCGTCCCCCTTCCTCGATCCTCGTCGCCCCTCGCCGCCTAGAACGCATTTCTTAGATGCAACTACGCGATCGGAGTTGAAGGGACGTGCCTGATACCCATTTGAATATTCTTATCGCTCTCTCTTCGTCATTCTTTGCATCATCGAAAAAAAAACGACCTTCACTCAAATCTGTCTCTGCTCCCTAATTCCCGTTCCGTTGCCATGCCCCGTACGACTCGCTCCACTTCAACTGCGGTTGCACGAAATCGCAAGTACTCTATCATACCCTAGCGCGTATAGAGTGCTGACACCTAACTTCCATGATCAGTCCCACGTTGTGAGCAGGCCCAGGCTATTGCCCTCCCAGAAATCCCGCCAAGCGATAGCCCTACCTCACCTAACACCTCCCTAAAGCGACCGCTAGACCATTCAGGTATGCTCCCCTTGCTTCTTCATCGTGCACCCCGTTGACCGCAGGTTCTCAACACTGGCTCAGATGACCTTACAATAATTTCCCTAATTAAACGAGCACGAACGACCTTTGCTACGACTCTTCGTAATACTCGAACTACCACCTCTTCACGTCACAGCACGCCTTTTGATGCTAAAAAACCTCATGGTAAGCTCTGGTGCTCTGTTTCCTGCGACATTTACCTTCTGGCGCTTACATGTGGGCTCCTTGGTAGATTCCTCACGCTCTTCCACTCCTATCCAATCTCTCTTTACTCGTCTATTTGATGACTGGCCTAGCCCTTCCAACTCTCCTTCAGTCTCCCCGCTCCCTGCTCGTCAGACGAACGCCAAAAGATCTCATGCTGCGAATGCAAGAGCCGCAGATGTCATCGACCTTTCCCCTACGCCATCTCCGACGCGTGGCCCCTCAGACGAAATATTTCCAATCACTAATTTGCCGTCTGATCCCCCCACATCTTCCGCCCGTCCCGAGCCCCCTAAAAACCTAAACAAGCTCTCCAATGAGCTTCAAGGGCCCGTTCGTCACGAAAAGATGGCGTCCAAGAAGCGTTTTGACCCCGTCGTGTCACGGGCGTTTCCCACTCCGTCCACACACTCGAAGCGTCCCCGTGTGCCCAGCTCAATCCGTGGTGACCGCAGTAATCCCATCAATCTCACTTCGAGCCCGTCTTCACCCTCCAAGACCGCTGCTGTTACTTCTAATCTCCCTACTCGATCGACCACTGCTGAGGACCTGATATCACTACCATCACCGTTACCCTCAAATCTGCGCCGCGGTCCTCGCTCGGCTCCGATTCAACCCACAAATCTTGTTCTACAATCCAAACACCATCCCTCCCCTCAATTCACCTCCGCCTTGGCCACGATCCCCGGAAGTGTGGGCACGGAGGCAAGCGCGATTAAAGTCATCCATTCCGTCCCAAAAACCCGGACAAAATTCATTCCATCCGATAAAGCCCTGCCAAACGCTTATATCCACTCTGACTCGCTGAACCGAAATGATCTTGAGGATAAAAGGCTGCAAATCAGTGACCCACTCAAAACCACCTCCAAGAACGCATCACGCAAGCCTCAGACGTCGCGCCCATATGGTCCATACCGTCACCCTTCGGTTAACGAGTCCCCTCTTGGATATATGCGTGCGGAGAGGGACGCGAACCCTGCTCGCCTCAACCCCGCCGAGTCCAAGACATCCTCCCTGATCCCTTCGCGCTCAAACGATCAAGCCTCTCCCGCATATGCTCGTAGTGCTTGTAATGACCCTGTCGAATCCTCTTCTGACCCATCAGACATGTCGAAACCCACTAAGCCTGGCCTTCGTGCACACTCCGCTGTCATTCCATCACAGTTCGACCTAGATCTGGACGAAAATCCTCACCCTGCTACCCTTCATCTTCATGCAGCCAGCGGCACGTCTGCCACAGCACCAAGACCACACATGTCTCCACCCGCTGAGTCTTGGGGTCCTAATACTGCCACTTCCATGATTGATCCTCCTCGCGAAAGTCCGTCATCATCTCGAGAGGCTTCCGAACAGCCCGACAATCCACCAAAGTCAAAGAGGAAGAAGGCCAGAAAAAAGACCCCCAAGACCTCCAAGCAACAGCCGCCTGACGTGCACACCCCCAAAAAGCCCTCTGGAAGGCGGAAGAAAAGCAGGAGCCCTCGCCAACTTGAGAAGCGCCATATCTACCAGCGCAATCTGAAGAACGAGACACAGAAGGCCGTTGATCGCGCGCTGTCAGCTGAATATGACTACCTGTTTCCTCCTAAACCCGCACCAGCCGATCCCTCGAGCAGTGCACCTGGTCAAGGACTGGGAAGTCCAGGGCTTTACAACACACTGAATGATTGCTATTGTCTATCCTTGGTTCAAGTTCTCTTTTGCATTCGCTCTTGCATAATTCACGCTCATTCAGGCGAATGCAACCTTGAGACGGTTCCTTGCGCTCTTCAGCATCTCTTCCGTGAGATGGAGAATCGTGCCAGTAATGTCGTTGACCCTGCTATCTTTCGAACTGCATGTGAACGTGAAGGCTGGAAGTTTGGAGAAAGGGAGGATATCATTTACTTCCTTGACAGGTTCTTCCCATACCTCCGTGGGGAGCTTGGGCCTTCAGTATCTCTTCAATCGGACGATGTGTGTCGGCAGTGCGCGAGCCCATCTGTGAGGCATGCGTGGCTCCCATACATCACGCTCAATCGAAC